GATATAGTTTAAACATTATATACCAAAATCTATGGAATTTATTTTAAATTGAAAAATTAGGAATATGATTTTTGTTCTAAAGCAAGTGCCAACAATTATACGTTGGAGAGACGGGTTGTCGCCTTGGAAACCGGTTTAGAGGGCACCTCTATAATATAAATAAACAAACTCTTTGTCCGGTTTCCAAACATTTCAAAAGCCCTAACCATGATGGAATTTTATTTTAGACATCGCATTTAATAGTAGCACACCGGATAGAGTTTAAATGGAAACTAAATTAATCAAAAATTTGCTACGTTGACTCCATATGGTATAAACCTAATACGTAAATTTAAGTTGCTGTCATGTCTTTTCCTGTTTTGTTTTTTTTAAATTTTATAATTTTATGTCAAATCACTTCTTCTCGATTATCCCTTACTTTGGTGTTGTCTGGGTTTGCGCCAACTCCTATTATTTTTTTCTCTTTTTGGTAGGATATTTATATATATATATATATATATATATCATGTGAATTTAATTTTTATTTGTTTTTATACTGCTAAAGTAATTTACCGAAACGTCTAATTGTGTTTCATGTAATTTTATTATTAAGGCTAAACATGTATTGTTTTGTTGACACAAATTGTTCGTGTCAAATTTATTAATTTAAAAAAAAAAATGAAATGGTATGATAATCGAAATTGTTTTTTGTTTTTTAAATGTACAATCATGTCTGATGTATGGTAATGGAAAACGCAAATGCACATAGCGGATTTGAAAAGACTTTTTAATTAGCATGCGATTATATCTGCTTGTCTCTTTGTCGGGGTAACACATTGATTTTCTACCAGTTCACTGCGTCCCATGTACTGGAAATTTTGGATTGCTTTTTTTTTTATCCCAAAAATAATATCCCAATTCTTGACCCAATTCTTTTTTTTTTTAACTCAGTGACAATACCATAATTCTTGATCTTTATACGGATAGCGCTTAAACTTAGAATGTAAGTTTAGACCCATTTCCCTAAACTGAGATGAAAATGTGTACACACGCAAATGCAAGCATGCACGTATTCACGTTTATCTATACTAATAAAAGGCAAAGCCCCTCACTGACTGACTGACTCATCATTAATTCTCCAACTTGCCCAGTAGATAGCAGCCATAAATTTAGCATGCTTATTCCTTACAGCTCATATACAAAAATTAAATATGTTTCATTTCAAAACTCTGTACCGTAAGGGGCCGGGGGCCCAAAATGTTGGTTGTTTACTATGTGAGCTATATAAATAAAATAATCAACATATACTGCTATATGAATCGATGGATCTTGACCAAACTTAATACACATACTCTTGATTATCCATAGATCAGTACCGAAGGGTAGTTAACGCATAATATTAATACCTCTGGGAGCGGGGGCCCATTTAATTTTATTTATAAAAGCCTTATAAATATCAATATGCTTATTACTCCGAAATAGATAGATCTTGACCAAACTTAGTAGACATACTCTTGATTATCAATATTAAAAAAAATTAAGGATACTAAACTCATAATATACATATCTTTAGGGCCGGGGGCCCCATTTCATTTTTTTTCTTATCTATACTAATAAAAGGCTAAGCCCTCACTGACTCATCACTAATTCTCCAACTTCCCCTGTAGATAGAAGCTTTAACTTTAGCAGACTTTTTCCCTACAGCTTACTTACAAGAGATAAGAAGGTTTCATTTTGAAAGTCTACCCAGAACAGTCACAATAAGGGGCCCCACATTTTGATTTTTTTTCCTATACGATATATATAAATAAAATTAGCAACAAATACTGCTACATGAATCGATGGATCTTGACCAAACTTAAATTACATACATTTGATAATCCATGTCCAAATACAGAAGGGTACTTAACACATAATATGCATCCCTCTGGGACCGGGCCCCTTTTCATTTTTCCTTATATAAATTAGTTAAATAGCAATAGGCTTAGTGCTACATGAATCGATGGATCTTGACCAAACTTAGTACACATACTCTTGATTATCCATATTCAAATACAGAAGGGTACATAACTCATGATATTCTTACCTCTGGGGACATGGGCCTATTTATTATTTATTTTATGACCTATTGTTTGAACCATTCTAGTCAGCATACAGGGCGCATCCCTCTACTGAGACAGCCTTGTTGCGCGTCGTAAACGACCTTCTGTCGTCTTGTGATGAGGGCCAGGTATCGATTTTGTCTTTACTCGATTTTTCGGCAGCTTTGATACGCTCGACCACGGCATACTGCTCCAGCGTCTGCAACGAACGTTCGGTCTCACTGATACCGTCCTGTGTTAGTTCCGATCGTATCTGACTAATCGGGTGCAGTCAGTTATTTTAAACGGCTTGACCTCGAAGAAATCTAATTTCGAATTCGGAGTACCCCAGGGCTCGGTCCTAGGCCCGGTGCTTTTTACGATGTACATTCAGCCCCTAGGTGCAGAGATCAGGCAGTTTGACATGTTGTATCACATGTTCGCGGACGATATACAACTTCATCAATCCGTGATCCCTTCTCAGTTCCCTCAGCTGCTCAGTATGACACAGAAGACAATGGAGTTGGTTAAGCACTGGATGACCATAAACAAGCTCAAATTGAATGATGATAAGACTGAGCTGCTCCCCATCGCAACCGCTCAGAAGCAAAAATCTGCAAAATTACTCGCTCAGGTGTGCGTATTGAGTTAACTCAAACAGTGCAGTACCTGGGTGTCTACCTAGATAGAATACTAACTTTTGAAAGTCATATTAACATGATATGCGAGGCAATTTTTCTGGAGCTGCGCAGGATTAGTCACATCAGGCCCTTCCCAACAATTGATGCAACAAAGAGGCTGATGTCTGCATTTGTGCTATCACGCATGGACTATTGCAATGCTCTCATGGTGGGCCTTCCAGCTACGATCCTGGATAAAATTCAAATAGCACAGAATAATGCGGCTCGCATTGTTCTCCGCAAACGCAAATTCGACCATGCAAAAACACTTCTGAGAGAGTTGCACTAGCTGCCGGTGCGTGCTCGCATAGAGTACAAAATCGCAACTTTGTGCTACCGCTGCTTGCATGACCTGGCGCCGTCCTATCTGAAAGAGCTGCTGACGCCTTATGTACCCATTAGAGAGCTCTGCTCATCCGATAGTGGCAAACTCTCGACACCACGTGTTTGCCTTGAGACTTACGGAAAGCGCACTTTCGCATTTGCTGTTCCAACAATTTGGAACGCCCTTCCTGTCGATCTCAGAAACAACCAGACACTGGAGTCCTTTAAAACCGATTTAAAGACACATCTATTTCGCAAACACCTTCTGGAATGATTGTCTACCTTATTTTCCAGTTAATCCATAATGGCTGTGTTGCTTAGGGTTGAAATGGCTAGAAAGACTTTGCCATGGTATGCTTGTAATTAGTTTTTGTAGTGTTGCGTTTGTTTTAAATGTGCTAAATTATAGATTTGTTTTTGTTGACTTTGTACCAGGCTTCGAGCCTTTGGGGATGAAGCGTGTTTTTGAAATGAACTTTATTATTATTATTATTATTATTATTATTGTTATTGTTATTATTATTAGTATTGTTATTATTATTATTATTATTATAATCTCCAACTTCCCATGTAGATAGAAGCCTGAAATTGGGCAGACATATTCCTTACGGCTTACCTACAAAAGTTAAACAGGTTTGATTTCGAAACTCTAGGGAAGTGAAAGCACAGGACCAAGATGAATGGAAAATTCTTATGGACGGCCTAATGCCCCAGATGGGGTAAACGGCATAACTAAGTAAGTAAGTAAAAAATAAGTAAAAATAGCGGATACAAAATATAAAGAATAAGGACTTGGTCAAAATTTAATTATAGATAAAGAAAATAGATGTTAAAAATAACGATGAAGATGACGAAACAAATAAGAAGATAAAAATAGAAAATATATCACACAAAAAGTAATTAAAATCAGTCAAAACAATTTTTAAACATAAAAACACAAATAGCAATAAATTTAAAATAAATAGAATAAAATTATATAATTGGCCCCGTCTCGATGACCCAAATAATGGAACAAACGTGTCAACAAGTACAAGATTAAGTAAATAATTAATTAAGTTCGGGAAAAAACGAAGCCATAAATAAATGAAAAAACAAGTGGAGACTGTTTAAAAAACTTAACAACCAACCAATCAGAAACTTGGCACATTTGTCAGTCTGGTATCTGGGTAATGGTTTGTCATTTGATATTTTCCATGTCAATGGTTGCCGTTAAACCCAGTGGGATGTTTTTGTAATTTGTTAAATTAGTGACTTCCATCATCTGTAATCTGATAAATTAATGATCTCCATCATATTTAAATTGGTAAATTTATGACTTCCATCATCTTTAATCTGATAAATTGATTAACTCCATCATCTGTAATTTGGTAAATTAATGACCTCGATTATCTGTCATCTGGTAAATTAACGACCCCCATCATCTGTAATCTGCGAAATTAATGACCCTCATTATGATGAATTAATAAATTGAAATAAACAAATAAACAACATTATGTTGTCTGAAGTAGAGATTTTAGCCATGTCCATGCGATGATTATAACATGAAATACAATGAACGTGAGAATTATAACATTTAACCGTTTAATTACATTTTAACGTGGCTGTCAACCTAGAAGATTAAGTATCATTTCCTAGTACCCACTTCAGACTGACACCGTTCAAGCACGTCGTGTCTCGCCTGTACATAACACCTCCCTATCTGGTTGTGTCAGGTCAACATGCTTTTCATTAAAAAAATATGTCAAGTATTTCAATGTAGAGTGTTCTTTATATTTAAAGTTTCTTTTTTTTTTTTTTTTTTAAACCTTCTTTCCAGTTTGAATACTTTTACAGAGTTATATTTAATTTTTTTTGTTGTTGATTTTTGTTGTTTTTTTTTTTTTTTTTATTTTTTTTTTTTTTTTTTTTTTTTTAAACCTTCATTCCAGTTTGAATACTTTGACAGAGTTAGATTTAATTGTGTCTGTTGTTGGTGGTAGTTTCTCCTGCTAGATGGCTATGTAAGGCTCGTTTTAATGTGGTGCAGCCTCTACTGTCGGGAATAGGGAATACACGAGACGGGGGTGTTTCTGTGGCTACCACACATTCTCACTTGACACAGTTGAAGACTCCTTCACAGAGACAGTGAATGTAAGTAAAACTGAAATAACATAAATAAATTACTCTCTCACTCTCTCTGTCTCTCTCTCTCTCTCTCTCTCTTATCATCTCTATAATAAGCAAATGACTGCGTTCAAGCTGTGTGAAGGTAACGACAGAAAAAAGGGATGTGGAATCTTGAAATAAATAGACATGTCAATAAAAGATTAACGTTTCGGCTAAGAGACTTCCTCAGCAGACAGGACAAATGAAGTTTTTACAAATACTTTCTATTTTTGTATTTCTTTTTCTCTAATACGGAATACGATGTTTTAAACCATTTTGTTATCAAATATTGATATTGCAACATTCATTCCTTTCTCAAGAACAACACCAAAAAAAAAAGGAATTACGTTTCAGGTGATCACGTGAACATGAATGACAGGAAGTCGTTCAACCACTGGTTAATTTTTTTACTACCTCTGTTCTTGTCTGAAGTTGAAGGTAGGTACACATGTTAAGATTACATTTTGAGTCATTTCATTGTTTCGGTTAAATTAGTTAGTAATCGAATACATATTTATATGTCCAGATTAGTTTTAAACCCAGGAAGGGGAGGAAGGGCGAAGCTGGTTAGGGGTCGTCCATTAATTATGTCAACAAAAGGTGGAGGGGAGGGGGTTTGGAAACGTTTGACGAATGTTGACAAGGGGGAGTGGGGGTAGATTATTTGACGTCATCAATCAAGTTTTCTTTATTAAAATTTTAATCTTAAAAATTTACTGGTTTATTACATTATCTTAACAAATTTAATGAGTATAAATTAAAATAGTCATATCATATTTAGGCTTTTAACAATATAAGATTTATTTAATATGTGTATGTATGTTCACTGCTGGTTAGAAGGTTAGCACGCTTAGTTAATCCAAGACATGTCACAAGTTGTCTTCTCTTCGACTGTAGCTTCTTTTTGCTGCAAATGATTAGGTCAGTAAGTTTACGGAACAAGGACAAGGTTCAAGGGTCATGCGTGGTCAATATAAATAGAATTTATCGATTAGGAATACGATATTTTGAGAATTAGTGGATAGTAAAGCAAGTAACAATAATAACATCGCTGCTTGAACGTATTTGCAAAATCTGTAGCATCTATTTTGCATCACAAGTCATGTTGAAATAGCAAGTTCAACAGCACCGCCAATGCATCAGAAATTACCACCTAATCGTCAAAAAAAAAAAAAAGGATTCGCCTAATGCAAGCAGCTGCCAGGAGACAGAGAGAGCTCATGGCAGTTATTTCTCACACTGACAATGCTTTTAATTTAAGTGCTGAATGGTTAGATGAGGATGAAGTTGACTTGCCTGGTGCATCAGTTCCGCAGCCACACCTGGCTACTCACTGTGAAGATGAAAGCAGCTAGAAACTATGCCACAATTATCAGCTTTACTGACCATAATCATAGTTAGCTCAACAAACAATAGTATTTAGTCTTTAACAACCTTTTCATTTATATTTGTATGTATGGCATCTTTCCGTCTGCGAGAGATGATAGATTATCTTTTTTGCTTGCAGCTCTTTGGCTAGTGAGACCAATCCTCGAGTGGCAGTGCCTGTTGCATTTCCCACACACGAATGCGGTGGAGCAATGCTTAATGGCCTTCCTATTCGCTCTTTTTGCAGCTGTATTTATATTGCATTATACAATTTAAGTGCCACAAATTTTAACTTTGATTATTACAAGTTATAATGAATTTATATATTTATTTACCTTATAATTCGATTTTGGGGTGTGGGGGTAGACAGATGTTGACATAATTAATTGGGAGGGTCACTATATTTTTGACAGTTGTTGGCAACGGCCGGGGAGGGGGGGGGTAATAATTGCTAAAAAATTGTTGACGTAATTAATGGACGGCCCCTTAGGACTTCGGTGCCTAATTAAAGGTGCGCGAAAAAATATATGTTGATGCTAATGGCTATTGTACGTAAAAGTATATACAATTTTCGCAATGTTTTGGAAAAAAAAATACCAACAAAACTCAGTAAGTGCTCCAAGATCAGCTATTTTTAAATGCTTAAATAGGTTGTACCAAATAAACACTGAGCCCAGTTAGAACTTTTCCTCATCCAACGACAACAATTTCTAAAGCTGCTTAAGAAAAAAATATACTTATTTGATTAGTAAAAATTTACATTTGTTTTTATTGGTCGATATAAACACATAGGAGAATGATGTGTATATACCGTGTTTATTTGGAAAATGATGCGTTTATACAGTGTTTATGGGTAAATGATTCGGTTATACAGTGTTTCTATTATTTAGTAAAGATATTATAATGATTAGCAATGCTTGCAACCTATGAATGGTTTTAAGGAGTTTAACTTTATATATTCTTGTTGCTATTAGTCTTTTCTAAAACCCATGCGCTTCTTTACTATAGAGCATTTTGTAAAGGCGAAACTTTCACTGGCAAGGTACACCCAAGACCTAATTACTGATAGTATGTACCAAAAAATAAATTCCAAGAAGCACTATATCTACTCGGATGTAATATGTTCAGACTTGAAAATTGGATTTGATACTAGTCTATACAGCAGTATACCTACAAGGATGTAGCTTCTTCAGGCTAGATTGCTGGTTTTGATATTAATCTATACAACAAGATGCCACCGGAGACACTGCCACAACACAAACAGCCACCAGACAGACTGCCACCAGACATATTGTCAAAAAAAAAAAAGGTTTAAAAGAACAGAATGCAACCAAGACAGTTTGCCATTAGACCCCCCCTCCCCCCCCCCCAAAAAAAAAACGAAAAAAAACCTTAGAAATTGCTCCAGGAATGGCTTTTTTTTCTCATAATTTTTTTTTATTTTTAAAAACATTTCTTTCTTTAATATTTTGAAATGTTTAAAAAGCTTTTAAAAAATTAAGGCTAAACCTCATTAATTATTTTCCTAACACAACGACACAAATGTATCAATCTTATGAAGAAAAAAAATATATATTTATTGCGTAAGTCAACATTTACATGTATATTTCAAGGACAATATGAACGTACAGGAAAATGAAGCATTTAACCATTGTTTAATGGAAAAAATGCATTTATACAGTTTATGCAAAATTTCGCGTTTATACAGTGTTCAAAAAAAATAAAAAAGATATTATAATAATGAGCAGTGCTTTCAAACTATGTCATGGTGAAAAGGAGTTAAACCTTGTATATTCTTGCATGCTAGTAGATTGGTATAAAACCAATGCAATAATTTACTAAAGGACATTTTGGACTGGTGAAACTTTCACTGGCATGGTACACTATAGACCTAATTACTGATAGGATGTAAAAAAAAACATTCTACGAATCAGTGAGTCTATTCGGATGTAATGTCTTCAGGCTTGAATGCTGTCTTTGATACTAGTCTATGCAAAAGTGTGCCTACAGGGATGTAGCATCTTAAGGCTTGATTGCTGGCCTTTATATAAGTCTGTACTAGAGCCTGACCGAATTTCGGCTTCTCCTTCTGTTTCGACGCTGAAAGTTGCAATTAGATCATTTTGTCCAAGTTTTAGTTTCGACTGAAACAGAAAAGTTAACTTTCGGCTTAATTTCGGCTTCGGACGAAACAGAAAACTTAATTTTCGTATTAATTTTATTTTCAGCAGAAAGTGCTTGAGACTTTTGGCCATCTGGCCGAAATTGTTTGGGGTTTTTGGTCATCTACCAGAAGTCACACTGTCTGCTTGTCCCTTGGCTGTCAATCCTATATTCCTTTTTGCTCGACGCCTTGCGGCCATCGTATGTTATATGACTAATACTCTGCGAAAACTGCCCACAGCTGCATGATGACCTACTTTTAATTTATTTCCAAAAATTAAATTTCATTTAAGCCTAGTCTAGTTTTTGAAGAAAAAAAGATAAGAAAGTGAAATAGTTATATAATTATTTTTGTTTTTTTATTTTAAAAAATAAAATTTGGAAACCTAGGTTAATTAAATTCTAATGTAAAATGAGCAAAACGGAGTAGGGTGTAAATCAGAAAAAAGAAACGCAACAAAACAACGAACGTGTCGGCAGAAAGCATTCGACAGTGAAAAAAACAACAGAAAAAGCGGTATAAAAGTAAAAATAAGAAATAGCACTTAGCTTGGAAGTAGTATTCGTGGGCAGTCAATTCAATTCATTTATTTGTAATATTCGTTTTGATTTATCACTTTCATGCTCTTAAATGTACATAGGCAAAGGTGAATAATATTGAATAATCCTATGGAATGGTAACATCGCCATTATTATTTTTGCTTTATTTTTTTACAAAAATTAAGGAAACGTAGGATTTTTCAACTGATTCACTTCTTGAAATTCAGCATTATCATGCTGGTAGACTTTCTTTTTGACGAAATAACACGCGTTTGCAAGCCAACGGGCTCGTGTAATAATTATGTAATAGGTCTTCTAGCGATTTCTTTACTTTTAGGATTTTGGCGACCAATTTAGACGTCTTTTGCGATTTTTCGCCGACACCGTAAAAACATCAATTTTAAGAGACCCGTTCAAAAAATTATTCCTCCCTCCCACCGATGTGAGGTGAGGGAGGTTGGTCACCGAACGAAATAATTAAGCCACCAGCATGGAAAGACTAGTGTGTTTGTACTAGGCTAAATCTTAATATAAGACATCGTTTCAGCTACTTATGAAAACACAAAGCATTAGAATGACGATAGCCGTAAAACGTTGGGTTTCATAGTTTTATCGCATTAATATCTTATATTTAAATGACATATGGCTCTATGAGAGACACAAGAATTTTTGTAGGTATATCTTGTCGGTTGCATTTATATTATAAAAACAAAGGGTCTCTTTTGCATGAATTCCCGCCGCACCCATGTCCTATTTTTCTCTTACCATACTTTTTTTAAACTACATTTTAAAGAAATTCCTTTTAAATTAAAATGTTAAAAGCCAAAGTGTGCAAAAGATGTTTGTATATTAATATTCACGATGATCTCATTTTTTACGCTACGGTTTCGGTCAAAAGTCTCGTTAGGCTTTTGGTTTCGGCTTTGGTTTAAGCCGAAAGTCATTTTTTAACTTTCGGCCATGTTTTGGTTTAAGTTGAAATTGGAAAACCGCTTTCGGTCCGTCTCTATTCTTGACAGCATTATGTCTACCAGGACGTAGCTCCTTGAGGCTTGATTGCTGTCTTTGATACTAGTATTTACAGAGCGTGAGTGAAACTAAGTATAGGAAAACTTGAGGCAAAGGAACGCAACAAAACAACGAACGTATAGACAAGAATCCTTCTTTAGTTAAAACAGCAGTATGCTTACTGGGATGTAACAATTTCAGAGTGGCATGCTTGCCTCCGTTCTTATCAATACAGCAGTATGCCTACTGGGATGCAACAATTTCAGAATTGCATGCTTGCCTACGTCCTAACCAATACAGCAGTATGCCTACTGGGATGTAACAATTTCAGAATTGCATGCTTGCCTGCGTCGGAACCAATACAGCAGTATGCCTACTGGGATGTAACAATTGCAGAGTTGAGTTGCATGCTTGTCTCCGTTGTTATCAATACAGCAGTATGCCTACTGGGATATAACAATTTCAGAGTTGCATGCTTACCTCCGTCCTAATCAGTACAGCACTATGCCTCCTGGTAATTTTTCTCTAACATTGTTTTATGTTTTTAAAAATCTTATCCACTAGGTCGCAGATGTAAAAATGGTTTCAGTGGCCGTTATTGTGAATACCAGTGTCGATGTAAACAGGGATGTAGCCATAATGCATCGTGTGCAACAAACGCACAGTGTGTTAAAGAAGATGATGATATATCAGGCCCACCGTGCGGTTTCCGTAAGATGTTTTGTGTTATCTAGTTGTTTAATTGTGGAAAAAAAATAGGTAAATGCCGGAAATATAATTTTAAGATGAGATATCTAGTTTTTTTTTTTTATAGCATATTTAGTTGTAGCATTGGATATATACTTGTAACATTGGATATCTAGCTGTTTTAATGAGATTTTTTAAATTTGTGAAATGTAATACCTAGTTGGAAAATATGCAGGGGAGTCACTAGTGGGGGGAGGATGAGCTGCGGGCCATCATAGACGGTGACACGAAATGGAACATTGGCAATTTGACATAGCTCACCCGTGTCAGTGTCATAACATTTCTAAATTAAATACACTGTACGCAGACAGACAGATTGACTCTACATTTACTGACAGACTACCACAACCACAATAGTGTAACAAGACAAATCTGCAACCAGACAGTATCTACCTGACAAGTTGAACTTCATCTCTGCTTCATCAGGCGCTTGCATTCATCTACATCTCAAAAGCAAACCAGCAACATTTTCGGGGACTTGATACGATTTTTAGTTCAGCGTAAAACACACATTCACAGCAAAGCTCTATTATTGGAACACTGTCCTGTACATTTTGAATGTTCGCCCTTGTTGCTATTTAATGTCCATAGGAACAATATTATTTAATAGTGGTTTATCATTCTGTATAAACGATCTAGTTTTAATGATTTTTTATTAATTTTCTTCACCTTTGTCCTTGTAGGAGAGCAAGGTTAAGGATAGTTGTGGCAACGCTAGGTGGTAGCCCTGATGTTATTGTAATCCAGTTTGTATCCCATTGTTGACATTTCAGTGTGTCAACCAGGAATTTGGGGTGCCACTTGTGTGGAACTCTGCCACTGGGAATGCCTGGGTTTCACGTGCGAAAGGGTGTCTGGTTGGTGTGATCAAGGATGTAAGCCCGGATATGTTCCACCCACTTGTACTGAGGGTAAGAGATACGATAATATTCCACCTACTTTTTTATGAGGGTAAGTGTGAAGATCATATTCCATCTGCTTTATTCTGAGGGTAATAGGTAACGTCATTTTCTCACTACTTTTTCTGAGGGTAAGGGACAAGATCATATTCCATCTGCTTCATTCTTAGGGTAATAGAGAAAATCATATTCCACCTACTTTTTCTGAGGGTAAGGCAGAAGATCACATTCCATCTGATTTTTCTGAGGGTAAGAGGGAAGATCATACTTTAATAAATCTGTTCTTTTTTCACGCTTGCATTCCTTTTGATTTTCTCCTAAACATTTTTTTTTTAGAAATCTCTGTCTCAGCAAGAGCTATGACTGAGTGTTTAAATTACTTTGAAGACAATTGCATCACATTCACAAATGTTCTGGTACTTTGAAGACATTCGCACCACATTTCCCAGATGGCCTGAATATGTATTTATATATATATATATGAAGAATATCGTTTTTTAAAGCCATTAAAAGTTGTTTTTATTTGTTTGTATGTTTGTTTGTTTGTTTTCTGTTTGGACAGAATTTCAGGGGGTGGGCAAACGATGTCTTTTTTTCTTCTTCGTGTGATGTCGTTATTATGTTACTGCATCCAACAGCACCAATGGACAGTAGTGTCTGAAGCAGGGGGGGGGTGGAGGTGGTGGTCTTCTCCGACGGCGATAATCCTAGCTACGCCACTGCCAACGACCGTCATTTGATATGTTAACTTTTGCCAGTGTTTGAATTATTTTAATATTATTAATCTCCAAAGATACTTTTTTTCCCCCGCATTTTACAGTTTGTTCGCGCGGTTTCTATGGTAACGGCTGTTCCAAGAAATGCCCAGATGGCTGTGCCGACGGAAGTTGTCATCACGTGACTGGAGTTTGTTTTAAATGCCAAGTTGGTTATAATGGGAAACTTTGTGACCAAGGTAGATTTTGGCAGAATTTTGGGCGTTAGAAGAAGTTATTTAGATTTGTGGCCCTGCACTGCGTAGCATGAGCATAATGTTACCACATGAAGTGAGCTGATGGTGGTTTGATCTACTCTAGTAATGCTGATGGTGGTTTGATCTACTCTAGTAATGCTGATGAAGGTTTGATCTGCTGTAGTGATGCTGGGGATGTTTTGATCTACTCTAGTGATGCTGGTGATGGTTTGATCTACTCTAGTGTTTCTGATGATGATTTGATGTACTCTAGTAATGCTGATAAAGGTTTGATCTACTCTGGTGATGCTGGTGATGGTTTGATCTACTCTAGTGATATATTCTCCAGATTACAACCCATCCAAATGTGTCAATGTTTGAAGACCGGAAACTTAAGATACATTTGAATTCTTCATGATTATCTAATCCCTTGCGTAGTAATTCCAAAATATATGAAGTTAAAATTTCGAATGAAGAAAAAACATTGCCACCAAACGTATAAAGTATTCATATTTATAATGGGAATAAAACATACTTTTGTATGTAATGGATTGTTTATCAAAAATTTGCACGTCGTGCCAAAATGAGAAGGCTTTCTCCCGAGTTAAAAAAAAATTTAAAAACGTATAAATATATACGTCTATATAATAAATTGCTTTAAGTGAAAAGTTTGTTTTATTTTCTTTATTTTTATATAGTGATGATATGTAAAGAACAAATTCTCATTCTAAAAATATATCATTATCTCTTTCAAATTTTCAATGCTTAGATCATTTTTCCTGCTGCCGTTATACAAACGATTGTTGTTTTATTTAGAATGTGGCCACGGTCAGTGGGGCCTCCACTGTTCCAGCTCGTGTAGCAGCCTGTGTTTAAAGAAATGGTGCAACCACGTGACTGGTCAGTGTGTCAAGGGGTGTGTGCCAGGATACCAGCCACCAAAATGCGTCGAGGGTAGGAAAATAAAAACCTTTCAGTTTTGATAAGAGTAGATGCATTGCGCAGCATTAAGAAACAATATACTCACAGTCACACAGCTGTCATTTATGACGATAAAATAGTTTAAATATATTTAGTGGAGCTATATTGACTGTTGTTGTTTGTTGGTTGGTTCATAGCTTGTCCCTACGGTTACTATGGTAACAACTGCTCCAAATCCTGTCCACCCGGATGTTCAGAAGAAGGTTGCCAGGCCGAGAACGGTGACTGCTACACTTGTATTTCTGGTTACCAAGGTGACCATTGCGAAAAAGGTACAGTTGTTAGCTCACTATCATCATAATTTGACTGTATGTTTCACATCATTCACTTTTGTCACATTTTGTTTTACATCATTGACTTTGGTCACATTTTGTTTTACAACATTCATTTAGGTCACATTTTCTTTAACATCTTCAATTGGTCACATTTTGTTTCACGTTTGTTTTGATTTCATATCCTTAGTTCTCGATTTGTTCCATATCATTTTGCATAGTGATCTTTATTGGGACATCATGTTGTGTGATGGTTTTGTTCTGCTTTGAAATCCTACCAAAGTGTATTGGAACGTAAGATCTAAGTGTTCAACTAGTTCATGTGAGTGGGGCAATGGGGAAATCATTTTATCCTCATAAATATTGGAGAAAAGTGAAAAGCTGTTTCGTGTTGAATGGGGCAACACCATCATCATAGAGAAAGGTGCAGACAGTGGCGTAAACTGGGAAATGTCACCTCAGGCAGCATTTTGGGCCAGCTGAGGTGTTATTAGTTGGATACACTGAGAAAGACATTAGAGGAAGAGCTGCCATCGTATTAGTGGGATACACTGGGAAAGACACTGAGGGAGAGCTGCCATCGTATTAGTGGGATACACTGAGAAAGACACTGAGGGAGAGCTGCCATCTTATTAGTGGGATACACTGGGAAAGACACTGAGGGAGAGCTGCCATCTTATTAGTGGGATACACTGATAAAGACACTGAGGGAGAGCTGCCATCGTATTAGTGGGATACACTGAGAAAGACACTGAGCGAGAGCTGCCATCGTATTAGTGGGATACACTGAGAAAGACACTGAGGGAGAGCTGCCATCGTATTAGTGGGATACACTGAGAAAGAAACTGAGGGCGAGCTGCCATCGTATTAGTGGGATACACTGAGAAAGACACTGAGGGAGAGCTGACATCGTATTAGTGGGATACACTGAGAAAGACACTGAGGGAGACCTGCCATTGTATTAGTGGGATACACTGAGAAAGACACTGAGGGAGACCTGCCATCGTATTAGTGGGATACACTGGGAAAGACACTGAGGGAGAGCTGACATCGTATTAGTGGGATACACTGAGAAAGACACTGAGGGAGAGCTGACATCGTATTAGTGGGATACACTGATAAAGACACCGAGGGAGAGCTGCCATCGTATTAGTGGGATACACTGAGAAAGACACTGAGGGAGACCTGCCATCCTATTAGTGGGATACACTGAGAAAGACACTGAGGGAGAGCTGCCATCGTATTAGTGGGATACACTGAGAAAGAAACTGAGGGAGACCTGCCATCCTATTAGTGGAATACACTGAGAAAGACACTGAGGGAGACCTGCCATCCTATTAGGGGGATACACTGAGAAAGACACTGAGGAACGGGGTATGCCCTAATTGTGGTGCTACAGAATGATGAAGATATTTTTTAAAAACCCATTTGCAATCATGCATTTGAAACCAGAATGTATTCGTGTTTTTTTTAAAGCTCTAAGGAAATTTAATTCTGACCACAAAACTCCCAAACACACACCCATCCCCTACACACACGCATCCATAAACAAACATGCAACCCGCCACTACCCCCCCCCCCAACCAACAATACAAACTTCAAGTGGCTTTTAATCAAAGTGAAGTATAAGGAAATATGTAACTGGAAGGACTATGTTGTTTCAGAGTGTGCTAACGGCCATTGGGGCCTCAAATGTTCCAACTCGTGCAGCGATCTGTGTTTGAATGGCTCTTGTAACCACGTGAGTGGTCAGTGTGACCTAGGCTGTGTGCCTGGATACCAGTCGCCAAACTGCGATGAAGGTAATCAAATAAAAAGAACTTCATATTTTCATTTACTTAAAGCGCAGGTGCTTTGAGCTGGTGTTAGGGTTAAAATGCTCAATAAACGTGTGTTTTTTTTCCTTATCAAAAGTATTTTGATTGAGTTTTAATACCCGTACCTTGCCGTAATAACTTTTTCAATACATTGTTAATAGAAGAAAAAAAAAACATGTTAAAAATCAATCTAAATACACGGTGACGGCTGAGTTGTCCAACGATAAATTTCTAACAACGACTCCTAAGTAGGAATATAAAACTCGTTAAAATACATAGAGTATCACACTCAGTTTGTGTTTTTGTTGTTTATCTGTTTTTTTTTTTTGTTAGGTTTGGTTATTTTGGTATTTTTGTTTGTTGTTGTTGTTGTGAAACGTAAGTAATTCGTTAGTACGAAACTTAATTCATTTGAAAAAAAAATAATTAGATTTAAAAAATAATTAAATAAAAATTAGCCAACTTTGTACTGGCAGCGCCGTGACACTTGAAAGTAGAAAAAAAAAACACACACACAACTTGATGACGTCACTTAAATTAATGATAAAATGGATCGAGCGATATAAGTGAAGTGGAAAACTCTCTATATTTTTGTGACCCATGATAGAAAAATTAGCTTTCGTGATAGTTTTAAGTCTCCTCTTTCTATTTCACTTAACTTTAAGACTTCACACACATGACAGAAAGCTAATTGTTCCTACTGTCCACAGTAGGCTGATTATTCAGACTGGAATCGGTACGCTAATTGTTCAGACTTCCTACAGTAGGCTTATTGTTCTTACCGTCCACAGTAGGCTAATTGATCATACTGTCCACAATAAGCTAATTGTTCATGCTGCCCAAAGTAAGCTAATTGATCCTACTGTCCACAGTAGGCTAACTGATCATACTGCCTCAAGTAGGCTAATTGTTCATACTGTCCACAGTAGGCTAATTGTTCTTATTGTGAAAATGCACAATAGGAAAAAGAATTTCGATGTTTATTGTTTGTTTTTAAAAACAGCTTCAGCTGTGTTCCCGGTTACCAGGGCGACACGTGTAACACGGGTAAGTTTGTTTGTTTATGTCGTCATCCGGGTGATCCAATCGACCAGCTCACATTTTAATTTGGCTTGTATTTCTTCGGTATCGAATCCATATTTTGTTTGGTTGTTTATATAAGATAGCTTTTTTAAACCAAGAGTTCTTGGCGGGGGGGGGGAGCCAAGGGCGGAGAAAGAACCAGAAAATCAGATTTAGTTGCATTTTTTAACATAAGCTGCAGCAGATTGTTTATGGTGAAATGTGTGGTCGCATTATTTGTACTAGCGCATTGTGTTTTTACATGGTGTTAATTAAAGAAGGAAATATGAAACATAGCATAGCCATTAAATCACGACCACTGCCTGAATCTAAACATTCAACTTGTTGGAACCATTCTGGGTTAGTAAAAAGTGTTAAGACTTAAGACGTCGCCTTCATTTTAATTTCAGAATGCGACCACGGCCGGTGGGGCATCAACTGCTCAAACTCGTGCCACGCGCTGTGCTTGAATCGCTCTTGCGATCACGTGACTGGTCAGTGTGTTAACGGCTGCGAACCGGGATACCAGTCATCGAACTGTACCGAAGGTGAGAGATTAAATGAANGAGAGAGAATAAATAAAAATAATAATATGTCAATAACATAAAAATAGCGGAAACATATATATATATATATATATATATATATATATATATATATATATATGGCACCAATTTTTTTTACCCACCATTTCTGAATTGTTCATTTCTTTTAGGGATGTCGAACCATACCGACTAACTCAACAAACTTAGACTAACGAACCCAATTATAACAAATAAACATTGAAATGTTCAAAATATATTTTTCTGTAATTTTGTAGATAAGGCAGGAGAGGACAATGGAGAAAGAGATCGTGTTAGTACATAAATAAATACATATTTGGGTGGGTGGAGGGATCGATGGATGGAGGGATGGAAGGATGGACGGATAGACAGACAGATAGAGATAAAGATAGATAGAAAGACAGACCGATAGACAGACAGATAGACAGACAGACAGGTAGACAGACAGATTAGACAGACAGATAGACAGACAGATAGACAGACAGATAGACAGACAGATAGACAGACAGATAGACAGACAGATAGACAGACAGATAGACAGACAGATAGACAGACAGATAGACAGACAGATAGACAGACAGATAGACAGACAGATAGACAGACAGATAGACAGACAGATAGACAGACAGATAGACAGACAGATAGACAGACAGATAGACAGACATATAGACAGACAGATAGACAGACAGATAGACAGACAGATAGACAGACAGATAGACAGACAGATAGACAGACAGATAGACAGACAGATAGACAGACAGATAGACAGACAGATAGACAGACATATATACAGACAGATAGACAGACAGACAGACAGATAGACAGATAGACAGACAGATAGACAGACAGACAGATAGACAGACAGATAGACAGCCAGATAGACAGACAGACAGATAGACAGACAGATAGACAGATAGATAGATTAACAGATTGAAAGTTTAACAGGCAGAAAGATAGATAGATAGACAGATATGTGAACAGATTGAAAGATTGACAGGCAGAAAGATAGATAGAAAGACATATATTTAGAGATATTGATAGACAGGCGGACGGACGTCTGGGTGGATGGATGGAAAATAGTCTTTATTGGAAAGAGAATGAGCCATATCATCACATGTTTGTATCTTTTTAAAAATCACAGTGCACATATTACAAAGTTAATTAAGCAGATTGGTCTGAGGTCAGATTGAATGCAGGGACTACAAGCAGACAACAAGGAAGATAAAAGTAGCCGCTCCCAGGGACAAGCTACTCTATTTCATTGAAATGTAAACATACCCCTTATATCATGTTTTATCATACATCTGGCGCTGGTCATAATTTTTGTTAATGATATATTCACTACCTAATGGAGTACTTAGTTTTAATGCTGATAGATACACAATCTATTGGAGTAGATAGTGTTAGTGCTGATGGATACACATCCTAGTGGCGTTGCCAGCATTAGAGCTGATAGATACACTAACTAGTGTAATATCCAATGTTAGTGCTACTCTAGACTCTGCCAGGACTTATGCCACGTTCCCATTAACGATACAAACCTCTGCATTTATCATTAAATACTTCTTCTCCATCTATTCAAAAAATTGACATCTGGGCTGAGGCTGACCACCCAACCCGCCTCACTTGCAGAGGCGTGTCTACAGTGTTTGGCGCCGAGGGACATTGATCCATTTTCACGCCCCCCCCCCCCCGGCCGGGGGCGTTTTTCTAAAAAATACACAGGGTTCTTCGTCTAGAATTTTGTAACTTCCGTTTACGGCCGTCTGCATTTTTTTTTTGACTAAAGAATACATTTTAAGTAGCCTAAGGGCATTTATCCATTTTCCCCCCCCCCCCCCCCCGGCCGGGGGAGTTTTTCTAAAAGATACACAGGTTTCTTCGTCTAGAATTTAGTAACTTCCGTTTACGGCCGTCTGCATTTTTTTGATGACTAAAGAATACATTTTAAGTAGCCTAAGGATTCTTCTTTTCAGAATGCGATTTTGGTCATTGGGGTCAGAACTGTAGTAAGTCATGTGACCAGAGGTGTTTAAGCAAATCTTGTGACCATGTGACAGGACAATGTGACAAGGGCTGTGTAGCCGGCCACCACTCGCCGTATTGTACTGAAGGTAAGGCACCATTTTCTTTTTTTCTTTCAAAACCTGCACACAGGGGTAATTTCTTGTAAAAGTGCTCTGAAACAGTGGTTCTCAACATTGGGATTTATGGACATCGTGACATGGTACTTAACTAGAGAATATCTCTCCTTTTTCGTGGGAGGGAGAGGGAGAGAGATGATGAACCTAAAAATAATATGAAGTGGAAGGATTTGTGAAATGCGATGTAAAATTATGTTTTAAATGACACTACTTAGAAAGCTATGGATACAAAATTACCAATAAGTCCTTGGAGTAGAATGCTACAAATGTATTTTTATCCAATTATTACAGCTTCCAATTACAATTATTCGCAGAGTGCCCAGATGGTTACTATGGCAACCACTGCTCTTCAACGTGCCCGGAGATGTGTTCAGATCGTGACTGTGACCACGTGACCGGTCAATGCATAACATGTGCTCCTGGTTACCAAGGTGATTTCTGTAATTTGAGTAAGTTAAAATATTTATTTTTTTTGAAGTGTAAAAAGAACTGTATAAATAGTAGCTAGAGTGGTCATAAATATAAGTGCTTAAATGTTGTTTGAATTAGTCATAACTAGAGATGTTTAAATGGTGGCGGAAATGGTCATAACTAAAAGTCTTTAAATAGACCTGAAAATATAACTAGAAGGGTTTAAATGGAGGGCTGAAATGGTCATAAATAGAAGTGTTTAAATGGTGGCTGAAATGGTCATAAATAGAAGTGTTTAAATGGTCGCTGAAATGGTCATAACTAGAAGTGTTTAAATCAGGTGTCTCAAACTCGCGGCCCGCAGGCCATTTGCGGCCCGCAAGACGATATTTTGCGGCCCCCAAGAGGACAGAATTGTTTAGTGTTAATGCGGCCCGCGCGTTTTCGACAATTCTCTGATCTACAAAGTGACCCTCCGCGACGATTTTAGTCGACTCTCACACATGATTGTCATTCTTATTTTATTATGTTTGTATAGGTTTGGGCCTTGATTTTAATGGCAAAAACCGTTTTAAAGTCGGACTTATTTGAGTTTTATTTATAGCATTTTATTAGGAAAACGTGGCCAAAGTGCGTTTTTGAGAAAAGTTTTAAAAGTTAGTTAGCGTGTAATGCACAACAATAATTGTGTAAATCGCTGCAATCTGATATATTATCAAAGAATCCTTATTAAAATTGTAGCTAGTATGCGCGAGTGAGGGAAATTCCGAGGCTTTCAGCTTAGTCACTTTTGAAATAGGGTTAGTCAAAAAGGCCTTTACTACGATCAAAAATCCACATTCATTCCCCCTGAAATTGCATCTTCCTTCGCATCAACAATTCATAAATATTGTCTGCTCTTGCCTACTGTTTAAACACATTTTAGAATTTAAAGCCTTCATTAAGTTGGGTGAAGTTTTTTTCCTGTCATATGTGATCCCAAATGGCTCAGGGACTTGGCTTTTTTTATTGGAATTACACATGAGCTGAAAGTACTCAAAAGGAGTAACAAGACCAGGGGTAGCTTTTTAGTTTTGCCAATTACAATGTCAGGGCATTCTGCACAAAACGTGTGTTATGGTTCTTAAAGAAACATCTTCCATTTCCCAACATGCAGAGTACTCATGGACTCGGGTATACCATTCAGATGTAAGTATAATGATGCCATTGCAAAGCTACAGGAAGAATGTGATCACATGTTTTTAGACTTCAAAAACCACAAAGTCACTTTCAACTTTTTGCTGAATTTTTCTCATTAACGTGGTAGGTGGCTCCCCACCTCATTTTTCTTAAAATGCGCTTCAGATGTAGCTGGTTGATTTTTAAAGCAATTCTGAACTCAAGGCTAAATTCGGGGAGATGAATAGAAAAACAGACAAGCGTGAAAAATTTATGAAAACATTGTTCTCCATCTTCCCTGAGATTTCCAGGTTGTTCAAGCGGATGAAATGCCTTTTTTGGAGTACCTATCTGCGTGATTAGCTCTTTTCCACCATGAACTTTAACATGCCAAAGTTCAGGGCCAAACTTACTGATGAGCATTTTCAAGGTATTCTGAGGGTCTCATTTGCTTCCACAGTCAAGCCAAATGTTGCTTACCTGTGTAAAAAGAAGCTCTGCCAGCTCTCTGGCAACAAGGATTTGGAGGAAGAAAGTGAAGCCTAGTTCTTGAGAACCCTAAATGTTCTATTTTCTATTAATAAAGGTTGAGCAAATTGTAACAGCTGTACTTTATTGAATTTTTTTTTTCTGTCGAATACTTGGTGCGGCCAGCCTCACTCAAAAGCTTTTTTTCCTGCGGCCCCCGGATGATTTGAGTTTGACACCCCTGGTTCAAGTACTCGCTGAAATGGTCACAACTCTAAGTGTTTAACTGGCGGCTGAAATGATCATAACTAGAAATTTTTAAATGGTGGCTTAAATTGTCATAAATAGAAGTTATTAAAATGTGTTTGAAATGGTCATAACTACAAATGTTTAAATGGCGACTGAAATGGTCATAATTAGAAGTGTTTAAATGGTCATTGAAATGGTAATTACTGGATGTGTTTAACTGGCGGCTTAATGTTCATAAATAGAAGTGTTTAAAAGGTGGCTGAAATTATTATATTTTTCAAAAAAAAACATGCCGGGATCCATAGTGTATGATAAGACCAGAAAATTCAACCATTTTATTTTTTAATATACAACAATTTTGAGTTAAATTGGAAAAATTTATTCGTTCAAATAACAATGTTTTTCATCTATATTTGTGAGTCTTTACAATGGTAACATATTGGGTATCCCATTAAGGGAGAAATTTGAGAGCGTCCTCCCAATGGTCACATGTTGGGGTTTTACATCTATGGAGACATTTGAAGGTGCCCTCACAATGGTCACATGTTGGGGTATCTCATTAAAGGAGATATTTGGAGATATCCTCAAAGTGTTTCCATCGTCCTGATAGCCTCACTCCCATAATAGAGAGAAAGAGATAGAAAGAGTGAGAGAGAAAGTGAGAGAGGTGCATAGAGTGATAGTGACAGAAAGAGGGAGAGATAAAGAGGAATGTAAACAAAGAAAATGAGAGAGAAAAAGATAATGGAAAAGAAAGAGGGATAAAAAGCGAGAGAGAGAGAAATGGAGAAAGATAAACAGAGTGATAAAAAGAGAGGTAGTGAGTGAGAAATTGAGAGAGAAAGAGTAAGAACGAGAGAGAGAGAGAGACAAAGAGAGAAAGAAGGATACAAAGAGAGGGAGAGAAAGAGAGAGAGAAATGGGGAGAGAGGGAATATTGTGTGTGTAAATTACTTTTTATTTTCACTTTCAGCATGTGGACACGGTATGTGGGGACTCAACTGTTTCAGCTCCTGTCATACTCTCTGTGTGAATGGATCCTGTCATCATGTCACTGGTCAGTGTGACATTGCTTGTGAGTTTGGCAACCAGTCATCCAAATGTACGCAAGGTAAAAAAAAAAATGAAAATTATCACAGAAAGAGAATTTTATGCATTTTTACAAATTGCAATTAAAGCAATACTGCTACCAACAGTGGAGGTTCCTATTCAACAGTCAGATGGTGTCGAGGGTAATTACTGTTAAAATAATACTGCAAACCGCACTATCCAGCAGGAAGACGATGAACGAAACGCATGAGAGGAAATGTTGTTTGTTTCTCTGAGAGGGGCAATGTTGATGCCATATGATACAATCTGAGGAAATGGCAAAATTTGAACTCTAAGCTTGAAAGAATTGGGAAACTGTTTCTGCTGGGGGGGGGGGGGTCGAAAAAATTGATCATGCGCCTTACGTCACTGTTCTAAGTTTTTGACGAATTCATCGCCAACTAAAGGCAGAGAACACTATGTTTACATTTTTTATTACAGACGTTGTTTTTATTACAGCTGTTTATGTTATGTTATCGGGCTGTCATTGCCCATTCCAACTGCTGCTACACACGATGTTGTAATGTCTCTCAATATTCATATCTCTCACATTTGTCGCTCTCCATACACCGCTATCCGTCAGTTCAGCTCTATCTACGACTACTTCGCATTTAGCGCAACAAACACTCTAGTCACTGCTATTTTTCTATTTCGTCTTTACTATTGTAACTCTCTTCTGTCAGGTTCACCAAAAAACTTCATAGAATAACTATAAAAGGTTCAAAAGTCAGCAGCTAGGTTAGCTCTAAAGGTAAAAATCATGTGATCACGCCACTCCACTCACTCCATTGGTTCCCTTTAAAAACACGTATTGACTACATACTCTCTGTTCCTGCCACAAATTTTTCTCCGATTCCTGCCCTGCCTATCTCAACGCACTTCTTTCTGTCTATTCAACCCTTCGACAGCTTCATACCTCCGCAGACACGCGTATTCTTTCAGATCCTAAAACATACTGGGAATGATCTTTCTCTTTCTGTAGCCCTAAACTATGGAATTCTGCCCCACTATCCATCCGCAATATACCATCCCTCCAAGCGTTCAAAACTGCTGTCAAGACCCAGCTCTTCAAACTCTACTATCCCGACTGATTCCCACCCCCTCTGACCGATAAACGATGCTGCTGGCTGCCGTCCATGGCTTGACTTGTCAATATTTCTCTGATGGGCGGGTCTGAATATATATGTATATTTTAGTTTTTACATAGCTGTATGTCATTTTTTTAATGTTATGATTATGTTTGCTAATATTTATATGTGCACAGCGGTGAGCCCAGCCGTAGGCTCAGGTACCGCGCTATTCTAGACCACTGGAATAATAATAATGTTTTGCTTAAAATGTCAATAGTTCCCGGATGGGCGGGATGAATATTTATATTATGTAGTTTGTAGTGTTGCGTTTGTTTTAAATGTGGTAAATTATAGATTTGTCTTTTGTTGACTTTGTACCGCGCTTCGAGCCTTTGGGGATGAAGCGTGTTTTTGAAATGAACTTTATTATTATTATTTTATTTTTATTATTTAGTTTTTACACAGCTGTATGTAATTTTTTAATGCCATGATTATGTTTACTAAAATGTATGTGTGCAAGCGGTGAGCCCAACCCTAGGCTGTGGTAACGCGCTATACAAGACCACTATAATAATAATAATAATAATGTATTCAACAATCTTTCCCTTCACAGTCCAAAAATCCACCTTTGAACTTGTGAAAACCGGAAGCACTTGTTCGACGATTGGTATAAGCTTGACGTCCGTGACCTTAGCGGTTGCCCTACTCACCACCATTGTCGTTTTCATGTACAGAAGGAAACGGAAAACGTTCCAGTCGGATAGCTCGACCACTGAGCCGTGTTCGAATGTCCTCTTCATGGTCGACGACGCTGATGTGTCAGGAGAGATGACGACCTCAGACAGAGGGCCTCTGATTGACCAGCCCAATTAAATGTTCTTACAGTTGTTCACCGAGGCAGGTCATGTGATCAAAATCAAATGATGTTTTCATTTGGTGTGTTCGCTTTGTTTTTTGTTGTTGTTGTTTTTTTTGTGTGTGTTTTTTTTTTGTCAACAATTTCATAATTCCCCATTAAACATATAAATACCTGTTTGAACTTTATCGATCTGAATCGATTTTAATTTTGTAAACATTTTAACTTTTGTATTTACTCAAATGCCAATATCGCTCTCGTAAATTAAATTCCAGTTTTGTGGTAGCTCATATACCACTATCACCATCAAAAATTAATTTTCATTATATTTTTCTTCTCACCTTCAACGTGATGTATTCCATTTATTATTTTAGATAAATATTTATTCAAACTATAAACGTTGTAAATTACCTTTTGTTGTATGTCAAATGCCAAATATTACCATAATGAATTTTTTTTTCGCTCTAAGTTAGTTGTACACATAATGAAAGTATCAATTCACCATTACTTTAGCATGTTGCATGAACCGCATTTGATACGGATTACTTTTGTAGCTCAATTGTAGGTTTTAGTTAGGAGTATCTTTTAGTTAGGAAATAGGAAATAAGTTTTACAAATATACTAAAATACAATCACATATATATAACAATAAAGCATTTTAATGCGAGAAAGAAAGAAAGAAAAATTGGCGATATTGTTTGTGAAATTGTAAACTTAATCAAGCGAGTAACGTCTTTGCACATACTTTTTTTTTTTAATATACCATTTCCAACACATATAAGCCTTGCTTTTTTTCCTTTTTTATGGAATCTATTTTTTTTCCAATAATTTATTTAATAACATACTTTTAAGCGCACAAGAAACGCATGAGTTTTCTACAACTTCAAGAAACCTTGACCTATCACTTCTCATCAGCCGTCCACACGAGTCACACCGGTCACATGAGGTGATCTCCACCATTTAATTTGAGTTTTGGATAACGTTTTAAACACGTTCTGACTCCACTGGAAAGTGGATTGGTGACGGAACATTCCCGACCTTGTGTCCAGAGAACTTTTACTTTAAAAAAACAATTGCATTACAAAACATCATTTGTTAACCAATCAAACATCGGGTGATGGAACCATTAAGATATTGCCAATAAGTGTATTTGTGTGCTTTGGCGTTTACCCCCCCCCCTTTTTTTTTTGATGTGAAAGTGGGATAATCATAGACTTTTAGACTGATGGATTCATTTAATTTATTTACGACAAGAATACAACATCTTAATTATTTTTTACAAAAAATATTATTGATCACATTGAAAATAAAAGACTAAATAATTTTATGGAACTAATTGGTTTCTTTTTATTTAAATTGATCTATTCACAATTTGGAGATATAATTTTGTTAGTTTTATTTATATAATATATATTTCGTACAATAACAACGAGATTAAAAATTTGAGGTGGGGGCTAACTTTCTGATGGTGAAATCACTGATCAAACTTATGTAGGGATTATTAAAAGAAATTCTTCAATAAGAACATGGACAATGAATTGAATACTCTGTGATTCATATATTAGAATATATATATTTATATAAAGTTTTATTAAATTCATAGTTATAATTTTACTAAACAAAACTTTTGTAGTGTACACTTAGTGTAAGCTGACAATTCTTCTAAAGAGATGAGAAATATTCTCGTGACAAAAGCAATAAGTATTTGATAACCAGAATACATAGTTTTTGTGAGAAAATCTATTCAGTTTCTTCTTTATACTATATACTTATTAATAAGCAGTACTAAGAGTTTGGCCAAACAATATTTTAGGGAGCGATGGGTATGTGAATGACGATCAAGTTTTATTATTATATCGTCAACATGTTATTTTAATAAGCATTGTGAATACACAAAAGATCAAATATTACATTGCTGAACTTCGAGATTCAAGAAGGTTTTGTTCTGTTAAATTCAATGCTACTCGACAATCTATTTTTTAAACATGAATGTCTGTATGTTTGTATGTGTGAATTTCCCTTATGCGCCCCTATACCATTCATCTGATTGCGATAAAACTTTGGTGAGTTATTCACACGCAAGTAAATTGTTCTGAATTATTACAACCATTTTACAATGTTCCGTTTGGGGCCGGGAGCACCTAAATTCGTTTTTTAAAATAATTATATGAACTCTATAAATATAATTTCAACCAGAGCTATTGTATTGGTGGATTAAGTTGAATCAATTACAAACAGTGACATTTCATTTTATGTGAAATAATAAGTAGGTTTCTGAATTAGTTGAACCATTATACAATATTCCTTTTGGGGCCCGAGGCCCTAAATTAGTTTTTTATTTAATTCTCTTTGCAATATAAATATATATTCAGAGCTATTGCAAGGGTGGAACAATCGCTACAATTGTGTGGACTAAATTTTGAAAATCCATGCGTATTAAACGGACAGCTGTATGTGGCTTGCTCACGAATCGAAAAACCTTATAATTTATTCGCCTATTTAACAGACGAAAAAAAAAATATTCTATCTAAAAAGTACTTCAAAATCACAATTGCAACATAAGTTGATGGTATGATTTTATGATGGTATGATGGTATGATGGTATGATGGTATGATGGTATGATGGTATAACGGTATGACGGTATGACGGTATGACGGTATGACGGTATGACGGTATGATGGTATGATGGTATGATGGTATGATGGTATGATGGTATAATGGTATGATGGTATGATGGTATGATGGTATGATGGTATGATGGTATGATGGTATGATGGTATGATGGTATGATGGTATGATGGTATGACGGTATGATGGTATGATGGTATGACGGTATGATGGTATGATGGTATGATGGTATGATGGTATGATGGTATGATGGTATGATGGTATGATGGTATGATGGTATGATGGTATGATGGTATGATGGTATGATGGATGGATGGATAGATGGATAGATAGATAAATAAATAGACGGATTGATAGGTGGAATGTGGACATGTAGGATGGTAGGATGTAAGATGGTAGGATTGTAGGATGTTAGGATGGTATGATTTTAGGATGGTAAGATGGTATGATTTTAGGATGGTATGATTTTAGGATGGTATGATGGTATGATGGTATGCTGGTATGCTGGTATGCTGGTATGATGGTATGAGGGTTGGATAGTATGATGGTATGATGGTAGGATGGTATGCTGGTATGCTGGTATGATGGTATGATGGTATGATGGTATGATGGTATGATGGTATGATGGTATGACGGTATGACGGTATGATGGTAGGATGATATGATGGTATGATGGTATGATGGCATGATGGCATGATGGCATGATGGTATGATGGTATGATGGTATGATGGTATGATGGTATGATGGTAGGATGGTAGGA